TTTTTTTTTTTTTTTTTTTTTTTTTTTCCCAAGCGAGCCGGCGACGGCCTGCCAGGCGTGGATCCCTGCCGCACCGAACCACAAACTCTCAGCGCCGCGTTTGGGTGGAGAGCCAGGCCAGAAACCCACCGAAAAGGCGTTCCTGGCAGCACACGGCTTGGTGAGCCAAAAAAACAGCGACCACCGAACACAGAGTGACCAAGGCCAAAGGATAGCACACGCCCCTTCCAACTCCATCACCGTCTACCACCACCAGCCTACTCTCAATCCACCATCCCAATCAATAATCCCAACTACAAGGAGTCACATCCTCTCCGTCTCAATCCACTCTCCGCATCAAGCCAACCTATGCTCGACCCCAGTTGTAGACCCTATCTGCGTGCTTCATCGTAAGTCACCCCCACCAGTTGGCCCTGTCTTGTGCGCCTCGTCTGACCATGTCTGCTCTTGCCTTCTCATGCCAACAGTCTTGTACGATCTCAGGCCAGCCGCCTTTGCATGGGACAACTGCTTCTCTTCCTGGACTCCTCCGACCGTCCTCCTTAACCCGCGCATCTCGCTACAACACACCATCTTAAACGCGCTTTCGCATCGCACCACATACAACGAGCTTGGCCTCTCCTGCCAACCGCCTGCTGTAGCCAACCCATGATCGCCCACATCTTCGGCATCCTCCGTCTCTCCACCCGCTTGGCTTGAATCCCACGCTGCTGGGCCATCCTTCCCGATCCCAGCACCACCTTCAAACCACCTTGATCCGCACCACCACCATATCACCACCGCTCCTACGCACCTTGACCTCTTTTTCGTCCTCGGCCCTCTTCCCGTGCCAACTCCAGCTCTGCATACACGTAGCCGGATCGAACGGGAATGGTAGCACTCGCCCTTCCTCGTCGCCACAAGGAACCGATTCAAGCCATCGCATCCCCCGCATCCAACATGCTGCCTCCCACTCACACCACCAAGGCATCGCCCGAGCTTGCCGCCGCCGCCGACCCTGCCGCTGCTCCTCACCCAGACGCAGAGCGCATCAAGCCAAAGCGTTCCTCCAGCTTTGGCCGCGGTCTCGGCCAGCTCGCCTCTCTGACCGGCGCCAAACCCAAGGCCGTCGACCTCATGTCCTTCGGTCGCACAAAGTCTGGCGCCTCGACACCGCAGTCGCCCTCGCCTCAGAGCGCTGCTGACAACGTGGCCGCTGCTGCTGCCATCCTCGCCAACCCTGCCGCCGCCACTAACACGCACGCTGCCGCCATGCGTCCGCCTTCCACACCGGACCCCTCTCACCTCACCCACTTCTCCCTGCTTCTCAGCGATCTCGTCAACAAGGCCTTTGTCACCTGCTCCCCTGGCAGCGCTCCCGCCGCCACTACAACCAGCTCTGTCGCCTCCAACGTCGCCGCTGCTGCCAAGGGCCCTACCATCCCCAAGATCAACCAGATCACCTACGAGGGCAAGCATCTGCCGGACACGGCAAAGATCATCGAGATTGCACAGGTCGTCGTTGGCGAGCTCCGCTACGCCGAGGCAGTCGACGCCTACCTCCTCCGCGCCGTCTCGCGCCAGATCCTCAAGGCGCTCACCCTCTTTGCGGCGCGCATCGATTCGCTCCTCGTCTCGCCCACAAAGGACCCTGGTGCGCTCCGCATCCCCACCAACGCAAAGGAAGGCCTCCACATCCCCGCAGCCATGGAGTTCAACCTCGGCCTCGTCACCCTCGAGTGGATCGTTGAGGACAGCCTCGAGCGCTGCATCGAAGGCGACCGCGACGCTCACGGAGACCTCATCGCCGACGAGAACGGCGCCGTACACGACGGCATGCCCCACTTTGTCTCCGAGATCCTCACGCCCGTTCGCAAGCGCATGGAAGGAACCATCCTGCACATCATCCAGCCCATCCTCGCACAGACAAAGGCTTCCATGGCGCGATGCATCTCGAGCGCCGTCCCCACCCCCTTTGTCTCCACCGTCACCCTCTCGCCTTCCACCACCTCGGGCAGCGCCACTGCTGCTCTGCCATCCGACAGCGGAACCGCTTCGCCCCCGCTCGCCGCTGTTGGCGCAGCTGCGACCGCTCCAGGTGCGGTCCCTGGCAACGTCTCACCCCCTCTCCGCCCTGGAGAGGCCGGTCCCGGCTCCGCCTGGCTGCGCGAGCTCGATGGCCGTCTCGAAGGTGCGCGAAAGCTCCTGCTGCCCCGCATCGAAGAGCGCTGTGGTCAAGACGGCGAGGGCTGGTTCATCTCGGTGGCCATCCACGTCATCTGGAAGGGACTCATGATTCTCACCTCGCGCTCCGTCTCGCTGCCCAGCAACGCCGCTGCCGAGCTGCTCACCGGATCCAACGCCGCCAGCACCTCCGCCTTTGACCGTCTCATGGGCGAGGTCAACCAGAAGCGCAGCCCTTCGCCCGCCCAGCTTGCCCAGGCTCTCAAGTCGGTCGGCGTCGGCTCGGCCCGTAGCAAAAGCAAGGGCCCCGATGCAACCTGCGCCGCCTCCGACTCGGGTCGCCAGAGCCCCTCTCACTGCTCCGCTTCCGGACTCAGCTCGGCTACGCCCTTCTCGCTGGTGAGTGCGCGTCTGTGCGCCCATCAGCTCGCCGAGCTGCAGACGTTTGAAAAGCTCATGCTCCGCTTCTGCGACGGCTTCCTCCGCAAGCCGGGCACGCAGTCCAAGAAGGCCGGCAAGGATTCCAAGCGATCGCGCTTTGCACTCTTCTCGTCGGGCGCGGCGAGCAGCCTCGGTGGTTCCAATGCGCCGCTCGATCTGTCCGCCTACGACCCAGATGAGGAGGACGAGCTGGCGCGCGCGGCGCTTGCCGAGGCCATGCATGCGCTGCGCGCCACCATCATTGTGCTGCAGTGCCTCGAGCGAGAGCCGGCGACCATCTGTGCCGGCCTCGAGGCGCTCAAGAGGCTTCCCGGCGCCGAAAGCAGCGCCGATTCACTCACCGGATCCGACGCAGGCACGCCCAGCACGCCCGCTGCGGCTGGACCCGCGGCTGCGTCGGCGGTCTTGGGTTCCGAGGCGGCCAAGGCGCTGGACGCCATCCCAAACCTGCTGCTTCTGCACGTCCTCTACACGCGTCTTCCCATCGGCGCGGGCCGACTCGAGCTGCCGTCGCCGCCGGCGCTGTTCGGCTACACGTGGACCGACTACGAAAAGGCGATCGCCGGGTTTGCGGGTGGCGAGCAGTGGGCGCAAGCGGTGGCGCTGCGCTACAAGCCCGAGATGGAAAAGGCGTGGAAGGGTGTCGAGCAGCGTCGCGCCGAGAGGCTCGGTGCTCTCCAGCAGAGAGGCCCACGGACCGCTCGATCCGTGTCGGGATGCTCATCGGCGCGCGGAGGGTCTGCACTTGCGCGAGGCGGATCCAAGCCGTCATCCGAGGGCGATGATGATGACGACGACGATGACGAGGAGGCGGCCGAGGCCATGTCGCAGTCGGTGCCGGAGCTCAAGAAGCCGAGTGCGCAGACGAGGAGGAGCAGCGACGAGGCGCAGCGCGACGCAAGTGCCGCGCGCGGTCGCGTCTCGCCGGGCCACTCGCCTCGACGCAGCTCGACGGCGCACGCGGCACTTGCCGACGGCGCTGGCGCTGTGGCTGTGGGTGCCCCTGCCCCGCCGCGCTTCTGGCGACGCAGCACTTCGACTGCACGTTCTGGCTTCCACCTCTCGTTTGCCGGGCTGAGGGCGCAGTCTCCGCGCGCGTCGCCGGCTTCGGAATCGCCTGCGCCTGGAGCAGCGCCTGCGACGCCGCCCGTATCGGCAACGACGACAGACCCGCTTGCTTCGCCGCCTGCGCCATCGACTGCCGGCTCGGAGACGCTCGAGGCCCGGTACGATGCCGACGCGCAGCGCATCCGCCTCGAGGCGGCGCTGGAGCGCAGGTCGCTGTGCGTGTTTGGCATGGCGCTCACGTACGCTGCGCGCGGTCAGATGCACATCAACCTGGCCTAGATGCCAACTCCCACGCTCTTGACAAAAACAGGAGTCGATTTGTACAAAGATACGAAACTTTAGATCGCACCGCACGTTGCAATAAAATGAAAGGGAAGAATTCCATCAATGGGGTTTCATTGGACATAAGAGATGCAGACGAAGGGTGTGGGGGTTTTAGATTTGCTTGGAGCGGTAGAGGAGGATGTAAGCGACGCTGTCTTCGCCGCCACCGTCGAGTTGGGCGATCTTGTCGCGCGCGACGGTGGAGACTTTATCGTCGTCGAACTTGTACCACTGTTGGTCTGCGTCGGTGTGTTCGAGTTGATCGGCTGGGTTGGAGGCGGAGGATTCGTCGAGATCCTTGCGGACCCAGGAGATGTAGTGGCCTGCATCGGCTGCGGCACCCTTGTGCGTAACAATGCCCACCAGCTCGTACAGCGCCGAGGCATTGCATCCTACATCCGCCGCGAGGTCCGGATGAACAGTGGCGCGGATCGAGGCGCGTTCCTTTTCGCGCTCGGCAAGCTCTTCTTCCACCGTCAGCGCCTGGCCGAGCGTCTGCACCGTCTCCTTCTCCTTGTCCTCCCCACCAACCTCCCCACTAGTGCCAGCGGCAGTGGCGGTGGAGGAGGTGGAGGAGGTGGCATCAGCCATGGCAACGTCGCCCGACGCCTTTGCTTCCCTCGCCGCCTTCTCCTCGGCCGCCTTCCTCGCCTTGGCGCGCTTGCGGATCTTGGCCCTCTCATCGCGATCCTTCTCGATCTTCTTGATGGCCAGATTCGTCTCCTTGGTCTTGTCCTTCAACTCGTCCGTGAGGAAGGGCGTGGCATCGAGCACAAAGGGGAACTTGACCTTGCGCATGATCTTGGTCTTCTTGTTGATGTCCCTGCGCCAGTAGAACCGCACAAAGTGCGTGGCGAGGTAGGCGGGCAGCCGATCGATGCGGCTCCT